AAATTAAGGCAACTGGGCACCAGTGGCTCATGCTTGTAATCTTAGCTACTAAGGAAGCTGAAAACAGATTATGGTTCAAAGTCACCTCAGGCAGCAAAGTTCTCAAGCAAAAATAGCAAAATAAAAAATAGCAAAACACAGAATGGAAGTATGGCTCAAATGATACAGCACTAGGCTAATATGAACGATGCCCTCAGTTTAAAACTCCAGCATCACAAAGAAAGAGCAGATAAACTCCAGTGACATCAATAGAATGCTTTCAAGCAGAACCAGTGAATTCAAGGCAATTAAACTCTTCCATGGCAGGAAAGGAGAATTGTTTAAGTAAATCTTTTGTTCCCTCTTCAGATTCAATGATTCCATCCTGTATCTTAAGAAAACTAATTACACTGTTTTTTAAAAGGCAAATCATCACCTTTTAGATTGTTTAAAGAAGGAGAGTAGAAGCACAAATATTCACTATTTTACTATAGTTAAATGACTCAAAATAGCATCTTACATTCAACTTTTATGTCAATCTACTATGTTCCCTTAAAAAACAAAAAGGAGATTAACTAATGATGTATTTACATAGCCATAGCTTACAGTAAATATTGTGTGTGTTATGCTTTATGTTTTGTATTAGCCTAAATACTCTGGAATGTATAAAATACAGTAAATATAGCAGTGAGAGATAAAAGGTTACAGTTGAGGAGTTAAAGAACTTGAACTAGTAGACTAACTCACATTTTTGAAAGACAAGTAAATCAGTGGGTTTCAAATGTTTTTGTTAAAATATGTTCTAATACAGTCCCCCCCAGGTTCCATCTAAATTCTAGGTGGTTCATAAAATGGAAGTCGTTTTTTTTTCTTACCTGTTCTCCTTAGTGATTTAGAATTTTGCCGATATCAATTGAAAAACACCAATTTGTCTTTCATTTCTAAATTTCCAAACATTCCTAATGATTGAATTCAAATTTGGCTCAGTTTCCTTTCTTGAATGAAGACATCATCATATATATTCTCTACATTTTCTCCAAATTCTGACTCTATTATCAGCAAAGGTTAAGTAAGTTCTCATGAATACAAAAACAATAATTAATGGTGAGAAAACTCCATGAGGCAATTTCTTGGTTACTTATAGCAGTCTGAACTGGCAAGAGGGAATGAGTTTAAAGACAAGTCAAAGAAATATATCCAGAACCTTTAAATTTGTTCAAAGGTACTAATACTAGTACTGTTTAACCAAAATGTCAAAGTAACCCAAATAAGTAAAATATACAATGTAAGAAGGAGAGAAGTGCTATGAAGACAACAGAAGCACAGAGGAAAGTTGGGAATTGCAAGAGGGTTGCCAACAGTTATTTTAATCCCTAGCAGTATACAGAGGCTGAAGAGACACCTTATATGTTTTACTGAGAACTAAGATTCAAAGTACCCTTCTATGCATTCAGTCATGCAGTCAGTTTCTATAGGTGCCTGATTTCTCAAGAGCTTTTGCAATGCCACAACACAACTCCAATAGAATCAGTCACTCACTCCTGTTTCCCCTTGACAACCTAAACCTCCTGCTGGGGAAGGGCCTAGAAAATGTCTTCACACTGCACAAGAAAATTTCCCTGGGGTTAAGAAAATAGTTACTTCCTATGTCTTAATTTTTCAAGTTACAAGAAGTCAGACTGATTTATGGGTGAAGGTCAGATCCCTGGAAGGCCCAACGTCCCACCCAGGTCTCTGGTAATGACCATAATGGTGAGATAATCAGCTTCTGACAACACCATGCACAAGGTGCCCAGGAATAAAGGAAGCAGCTGAAACACCCTTCTTACTCAGTTAGGGGTTCCAGTGCCTCCCTCTCTTATCTGAATCAGACTCATTAAAAGCAGACTGCAGCCAAACTGCTTGCTTGCAAAACGTGGCTCCTTTGCTTCCTTCCTTCCTTTGTCATCTTGGGCAATTTGCTCGAGCTCTCTGCACATGGATTTCTCCATGTCAAATGGGAGATTATTTTTTTCAACCAGAGATGTTAATGCATGTAAAAACATTTTATTTATACATTTATATTTACTACATTTAGTTACTGTGTACTTTTGTGCCAGGCACTGTTCTAGATGTGGTAATAAATTTGAAACAGTGCCTGGCATATATATAAGCTCAATCTATGTTACTAATTGGAGGCCCACAACCCCCCACTGAGCACATAATTAGATCATATTATTATTATTACTTTTATTAAGGTAATGGGGTGGAGTGTTTATGTATGTATGTATCTAACTCAGAAAGGGAGTTGGATGAACAGTTCTGTGATCAAGCATACAGACTCACAGTGACCTAATGACTACAAACAGCTAGCCTTAGTTAAGTTCAGGTCAGAATATGTTACCAGTTTGCTAAATAAACGGCTTTTTGGTTTTCAGACTCCACTTGCCCATTTTTTTTTGTTGTTTGTATTTATTATTATTTTGTTGTATCTATCAAGAGGCAAAATGCACTAACATTTTTTTGGTTGCTAATTTCCAAAGGTGCTGGGGACAAAACAAATAGTCAAAAACATTTAAGGATTAAAAAATAGGAAGCCCTTTGGACATGGAAAATCCACAACTGCAAAATTAATCAATGCCACATACTAGTCTAAACAATCCTTCCACTCTAATATGACATTTCATAGGTTCCCAGTCAACCAATCTATTTCCAATAGCAAGTCTCAAAGAATCTTTTAAAGAATTTTTTGAAGTAATTTCTGAATGTAAGATGTTTCATCACTATTTTAATAGCACCACTTTGTTTTCACATGCAAAAAAAGGGCTATTGAATGACAAGAGAATGATTGGCTTAAAAACATGTGCCTTGCAAGAACACAGAACCCTCTGTAGTCAGTGTAAGGGAGGTGAATAAATGTTATGCCGAAGTGGTAAAACCATCCTGCTGCTACCAAAGGAATTTTCTCCACATTGCATTTGAAGGAAACATTTGCAAGCTCTTGAAGAGCTAGACAATAACTGGTTCAAGATGTTCTCACTGCTGGTCAGTCAAAGGATTTGCACAAACCCAGGGAAGCTAACTTTTCCTACCTCTTTATTGCCTGCATATGGTGTTATTTATCTTCCCCAACTTTTCTGACCACTTTCCATTGATTTTTATTTTTATATTAAAGTATTGCTTTGTTCAAGATTGATGTTTACCACTCCCATGGTGATCCAGTACACAAAGGCAAAGTCAGGAAGACATGAAACAAATAGAGATACTTATGTTGCTTCATGGTTTTTTCCCCCTTCTTACTATCCTCCTACTCGATGAGACTGTAGTGGGAGGTCTGAATGACATTTCCAAACGGAGAACTTAAAGCTACATTTCAACACCCAACCACTCCGTTGTCATAGGAACAACACTGTGAGCCTTATCTGGGCCGGAACAAACAGCCACTTGTTTTCCTTCAAATCCAACATATACCCATATACATATACATACCCCTAAAGAACAATTTAATTGGACAAAGCTGTATACCACACCAAAAGAAATTGAAGAAAATGAGCCCAAAGGAAAAGTGTTTCTATTCCTGAACATGCAATTATCAAATATTATTAGAGAAATTTTTGTCAAAGAAGACATATGCATGCCATTACTAATTATTACAGAGTATACAAAAATGCAAATACATTCCGTGACCCCTCCAGGGAAGAATTCAGGGCAATGTTATGTCATTCATTTTAGATGTATATTGAAAAATTAATAAATTAAAAACAGAGGAATGGCAAATAGAATTGGAAGCATGAGGTTCTCAAATAATTCTTCTGGGATATATTTTCTAACAGTTATGGTTCCAACCTACATCTATTGCATTTCTGTCACTTGAGACAATGGCCTCTAAAGGCATGAGAGAAATTTAAATTTTAGAATGAGACTCTTTTTTCCATCAAGCATGGCAGTATTTTAGCCACACTGTTAAATCACAATGTTTCACCAAAGTATTTACAGGCAATACAAAGCTGAAAATAATTGAGTGAGTGCACACACGCCAGCAGGAGGGTGTAAATGATCTGGAAAGACCTTCAGACTTTGTGACCAATGTTCTGTCCTTAAGACTATAGCCTCTAAATTCATGTGCTTTGCGGGGGGAGGGGGAGTAAACCACTTAATTAAGTCAAGTCAAACGACTTGCTTCACCAATTTCTTGTCTTTCTATTTCTTTAAAAATAAATGAATAGGACTTAGTACTTGTTTGTCTAAGAAAAACAATCTTTAAAATCCTCCGTGTTAGGAAAGAAAGATAGATGAACAGATCCTAGTGAACTTCTTCCCTCCATTCTATCACCAATACAGAGAAACTGCAATTATCACCATCCTATTTCATTATTGTCTTTCTCAAGGTAACCATTTTTAAGATTTCCAAGCAACACAACAGGAATCACAAGTCAGAAATATAAATTTAACTTTAAATTTAGTTTAAGGTATTAAAAAGAAAACAATACTAATGCATCCTATGTAATCCAAAACAATTCTGTTAATAAATTTTCATCATATATTCACATTCATAAATGTAAGTGACCCAGATTGCCTACATGATTGTTAGCAGTTAAAGACAAGGTATTCTTTTCCCATCTAAGTCTGTAAGTAGACATCACATAGTTACTTCTATTGATCAGTAAAATACTTAATTAAAAAAACAAGTAGCCACCCACCATTCTAATGTTCTTTTTTTATTCTGTCCAACTTACTGTGTACAATCATTCTTAAATTTAAATCAAGAAATCAGACATCCTTGCCTAATTAAAAAAAACTGCATTTTTCATGGTTCATGAGTTAGATTATTATGTAAGTACAAGTATTCTAGGCTTTATTGCATTTTTCTGGAAACCATAAACATGGGAGCAGCTAAGATTCAAGATTAGAAAACTGAAATTCAGGTTTCAGACATTGACAAAACAGACAGAAACCTGTACATGAAACCAGTAAGAACTGCTATCACAATCTGTCACACAATGTAATAGACCATACATAATAAATAACTACCCTTTTGCTTCATAATGTAATCACTAGAACTATCTTAAATTCCATGACACCAACATGTAAAAAAAAGGAAAAAACTATTACCATCATCGTCTGCCTTCATACCATCTGGAGATGTTGCCGCTTTGACTTCCGAAGTATTACTTCAACTTTCATTTTGCAAAGTTCTAATTAAATAAATACTTGACACCTTGAAATAGAGAGAGGCAAAGAAAGCAAGTGGGCTTAATTCTGAAAGCTTTCAAGTTCATATATGCCGTTCATATTAAATGCAAATACATAACCATGAAAAGTTAATACACACACTCCAACTTGATCAGTTTGGATTTTATGTTCCCCTTCCCCCAACACTCAAAAAAGGGGGGGGGGACAATGTTTCAAAAGCAAGCTCTACTAGAATTAGCTATGTTCTGCTAAACTGGTATCCCTCCTCCCAGTTTTGTTAATTACCTGGCTTCATTGTAGCCTTTAATCACAGCCTTTATGTATAGATTGGGGCTCGATGTTTATGCCTTCTCTCTTCCACGCAGTTGTTAGGGGTCTGTGAACAATTTTGCAATTCCCACACACACCATATGATATCTATTAGGGAGCAATGGCACTTTTCACTTACCAATTCTGGATAAAGCAGTATTTCCTGGTGACAGAACGTTGCTGTTTCCGTTCGTTTGCTAAAACTCCCTCTTTGCAGCTTGATAAATCTGATTAGAAAACGTCTTTGTTCCACAATCACACAAGGCACTTTACCCACCAAGTTTTCCAAAAGAGTTATGTGCGTTTTCATTCCTGTGACAAAACAAATCAGAACAAGGAGAGGGGGAAATGAGGAGTGAGTCCACACCAAGTTCCTGGCAACGATTTTCAACTGCATTTTTTTGTGTTTAATCAGTAAGCTGTATTAAAGTGACAGTTACCGGTTCACGAAGCCAGAATTTGATCAAGTCAACCACTACCAGTGTGCATGCTTTACACTGCTGTACAGATCCTAAGGAAAGCATCACTGGTCATCTATAACATGTGGCTGGAATCACTGGACAGACCCCCTGCCCCCCACCTGTCCCACAGTTGAACAGCAAGCTGCTGAGGCTGGAGAGCAGTCAGACTGGACAGCCGCCTGACCCAGGACTTCTTATAGGGACCCAACAATTAGCAGCTGACCAATCACAGCCAGTACCTTGTACCTAAGTCAAATGACAAAGCAGTCTCTATGACTGTAAGATTTCTGAATTACTGGGGTTACACAAAGGACACTCATTCAGGAAAAGAAAAAAAAGCCCTAAGATGAAACAGAAAACACCCCAGCTGCGACAAGACAACTCCAGCTTTAAAACAAGGAACACCCCAAGCTTCTCACAGCCCAGAGAAAGACCCACCACCAAGCCAGATACAAATCAGAGGAATGTGTGGCATGTATCAAAAAAGAATCCCAAGTAGAGAGGCTGCATTTACCAACCCACTTCAGCGACTAATCTATTCCTTACTCTCCTTTCTCTGTAGTTTCCCGGACAATTTAAACTTCATACAACAACAACAACAAAAAACCTCCAGTGAGCCCTGGCAAAGTCACCCCTAAGGAGAATTCAAATTTGTCACTTTTTCTAATTCCCACATGAAATGTAATTCTTTAAAAATAGTTGGACAAATTAGGCAAAAAATTAAACATCATTGGGACAAATTTTCTGATCTCTCTTTCTCGTGCACGCACGCACGTGTGTGCACACACGCACATATTTCAACTAGCTGCCAATTTATTTTCAACACCCTCAATTTATCTCTTATCCCTCAATTTACCTCTCATGTTCTGGAAAACAATTCAATCATTAATACCACGACCATTTCTCCAACCTCTAGGAAAAAAATTCTGGTACTTACAAATGGTCCTTGTTTGGACTAGATTTCTTCACCCCCGTCTTCTAACATCAAGTCAAAATACGGGCTCAGTTTTACCATTCCAACCTAGAGGCCCTATTTTAACTGAGAGAGGCTGCAACAGCTCCTTCTCTGAGACAAGCTGGGAACACTGTGCTGCTTGCCATCCCCAATTTATGGAAGGAAGCACATGTCAAACAAACCAGGTGATGACTCAGACTGCCTCCCCCAGCCATGCTTCCCCTAGAATGGGAGGGTAGTGTAAGGGCAGCCCATTTGGATGTGACTCAGTTTTATTAGACTGGTGGTTGTAGTTGATCTGACAGGCTCACAGCTTTCTTTTTAACTTGTACATTTAAGGACCAGAATGTACAACAGATTTGAAAACAGTGTGATCATTTACATTTCAGAACTGTACATTGTTTTTATAACTAAACTAATCAAACATATGAATTCAGATAACAGAAACAGGTTTGAGGTGTTTAAGTTTTTGCCTGTTTTATTTTCTTAAAACAGTGGGAAACTGTCTGTCCCAGGAATCCAAGCTTTAATTCTCAAGTATGAGCCCCACGTGGCAGATTCTTCAGGAAGTGGTCAGAGATATGATAGCCATGTTTTCACTTTTGCACATACTGCGGTGTGCACACAAATTCGAGTTTCTCTCACACAAACACAATCACACCCCACAATTACACCAGACAAAATAATCTCCAGGGCTCTTTCATGTCAACCTGCCTAAAAGCTGCAAGACAAAACCTTGAAAATAAATCAACATGACCCCAGTATTCCTCTTCAGTAAAAAGTTGTCTACCAAGGCAGGACAGGAGTGGCCTTTCACCTGGTAAATTGTTCCCAGGTATCATAAGGACAGGAAGAATGTGATAATAAGAAGTGTAATTCCTCACATGAAAATTCTGGAAGGCTGGGGCTGAGCAGTTTAATTCCAGTTATCTCTTGCCAGCATACTTCCTTTAACCTTGAGCAAAGTCAGCCACTGGCATTTATTGTTGACTGTACTTTGATGGATAACTAGCTATGTTATGATGTAGATAGAATACACATTCTATTTTTATGATCTAGGAATATCTTCACATATCAAATTCTCTGATTTGTAGATGAAGGTAGGAAAAAGGTATACACACAGACAATATAAGGAAGTTAACTCACGAGTTGACTATCCACTTTTCAAAAAAATCCTTGTAAAATTTAATTGGAATAAACCACATTAAAATTTACATATGAAATTGGTTTGCAGAAATCCAATTTATGCACAACTATTTGGAAGTGCATTTCCAAATTACACTTTTGAAGTCTTTCTATTTTAATGACTTGTACATATTTCTCACCCAGTTATTAAAATTTACTCATACTTCAACAGAGATGTATTAATCTAGTCAGTGACTTCTTCTGAGTAAAGTTTTATTGGCTTAAAGACAGTTACTTTCCTATGATACACAGAGAACATAAAATCTATAATTACATGTCTTTCAATAGAAATAAACACAGGCTATGAAAAGAGAATGTTAATAAAATCAAACAACTAAAACTGTAACATCTAAAAGGACCTATAATTGTTTTAAAGTCTGGCTTTGGGAGCCAGACTTGTTGAGGTTTGAATCCTGAGCTGCCATTTCTAGCTGACACTTACTTCGATCAAAGTTATTACATATAAGGGCTGAGACCAGTGCTTGAAAGTAATTTTGGAATACTGTGCAGCTTAGTTGGTCCCTAAATAACATGAATGAATGAAAAAGAAAAAAAAACAATTCCATCAAGGTTTTTTGATACCAGCCAGTACTGGGCCTTGAACTCAGGACCTGGGTGCTGTTCCTGAGCTTTTGTGTTCAAGGCTAGCGCTCTGCTGCAGTTCTACTTCTGGCTTTATTAGGTGGTTTACCAGAGATAAAGAGTCTTATGAACTTTCCTACCTGGCCTGGTTTCAAATTCTGATCCTCTGACTTCATCACCTGAGTAGCTAGGATTATAGGCATAAGCGACTGACATCCAGTTCAATTTAATCACTTAAAAAATCATTTTACTAGTTGCAATTAGCACTAGCCAATCAATCCACAGGTATAATTTTTCTTCCCAGTATTTCAGTGGTGGAAACTGTAATACCTATTCACTCCAAGATTTATTTGGGTCTTTCCCTCTAAACTTGTCAGAGGCTCCTTAGGCCAGTAATATAGACTACAGCTGGGGATAATGGTGAGTTCAATGTCTTGGCCTAAGAACTACCTAAGTTGGGCCAGGAAAGAAGGTGAGTGAGTCAAAGACTCAAAAGAAACAGTGCTGTTGAGCACACAACTCTGCCTTATTGGTCATTTTGAGATCAGACCAATAATCAGTGGCATGAGGTACACATCCAGGAAAGAGTATCAGAAGTGCAGTTTCTTTTCTCCGGTGTCATGTCAGAAAATCCCAGCATTCCATTATCTACATATAGCATAAGCTTCCATCTGAAAGCTCTATGAAGCCATGCAAGCATCCCACAAACAGCTACCAAAAGTTAATAGTCATCCCCTAACGTATTTGAATTTTTTTAAAAAAAGACAGCCACCAGACATCAATAAGGCACGGGCAAGCTTTATAAATATGCAACTCTTCAGCAGTGCTCTGAAGGAGAAGTGCTGTGTTCTGTGTGAGAGTGATCAACTGCTCCAACTTATCTTTATCCAGCAATGTTTCAGAGACAGATGGGAACAAAATGGAGGAAAGCCAGCAAAATGGGAAGGTGGCTGGGATTACAAAGGAGAGCTGGGGGAAGGAAGACTGCTTTTCCGGTTGTGTGGGAGCCGAGTTCAAGTATGCACACAAATTTGATTTAACAGCTAAGCTAAAGACTGCTTTGGGGATCCAATAGGAGCTCCACTGGCCATTTTGAAATACCAAATAAAGCCAGACACCAGTGGCTCCCACTATTATCCTAACTGCTCAAGAGGCTGAGATGTGAGGATTGCAGTTAGAAGCCAGCCGGGACAGGAAATTCGTGAGACTCTCCAAGTAACTACCAAAAAAAGTCAAGTGGTAGAGCTGTGGCTCAAGTGTAGAGTGCTAGCCTTGAGTGAAAATGCTCAGCAACAGAGCTTAGGCCCTAAATTCAAGCCCCAGTACCAGTACACACACAAAGAATAAATAAATCGAATTTTAAAAAATATGATCCAATGGTAGAAGGTTCCTGAAATCAAAATTAAAGGTCAAGGTGTAAACAGGCAGCTGAGATTTAGTACTGGTTCTGGGACAGACACTACTACTTCTTACTTAATTGGGAGAAGGAAAATAAATGAAAAAGAGATGAGGGAGAAATCACTTACATTTTCACTCACAAATCATTGCTTTTAAAATGATTACCATCATCACCAGCTCACTATGGATAAGCAGCCCAGCCACCCCAAAAGCATTGAATTGCCATGGGTGGGAGGTGGGGAAGTAGCATACTATCCCAGGCTGCTAAGTTATTTGAAGGCAAATAAGTCACCTGATTTTATTTGTATCATTCTTTTCAGTTATATTGTATAAGTGATCAGCAGAATCTTCAGAGAAGACTGGTATAGTGACATACATTTGTTATCCCAGCACTTGGGAGGCTAAGGCAGGAAGATCACAAGTTCAAGGGCAATCTGGGCTATATAACAATACCCTGCCTCTAGAAATAATAATCACCACCAATCTTTGGAGGGCTGTTGGGTTTACTTTGGGATCCTAGCAAAGTACCCTATATCAACAATAGGTTAGCATTATATACTTTAAGGATTCCCAATATTAGAAAGAATATTCTTGCAGAAACCTATATACAGACATGCTCACATATATATGACACCCTGAGAGCACCTTCTTCTGAGACTGGCCTGTTTTCCAAGCTTTTCATGTTACATAACAAGGAGGTGCTTTGCCGGTCTTCCTGAAATGCCCTCAGATCTAAGGCATATACTTCACTCAGAAAAGTTTTTTTTATTAGTTGTCTTCTTTCCCCACCCATTTTAACTGACTCAATTTTTTTATGGCAACACCACTGGGTGGGAGTGAATATGGGAGTGGGCAGGGTGGGAGAAAGGAAGGAGGAAGAAGGGGGGGGAGCTGAATCACAGCCCTGTGAGTAATCTTAGTTTTTTTTTTTTTCTTCCTAAGGGTATGAATCAAATTAAGCTTGTTTTGCTGTGGGTGAAGGAAGGGGAATATAATACCAG